GCTCTGATGATGCAATATAAATTATGTCAAATGGTTCTAATGTTCTAATATCCTATGAACGCGAGTCAAGAAATCTTTTTATGCCTTATCATGTGTGAGAAATGAATTAGAAATTTTCAATTAATTTTTGTCTCTCTGTAAAATATTTGAAGGGAATAAAAAACGTAAAAAAACTGAGGAGCTTTCAATTATTTCATCTGGAGTGAATATAATAATAACAGAATGATATACTTTTCGAATGTAATTCTGTTAGTTTGTAGTATAGTGCTTACGTGAAGAACATTTACGTTTCATCTTACATCAAATATACAGACACGAGCTCGTCGATCATTCTTATGTCAGTTAATACAATTTCGTGCATTCTGTTTACTCAGTCAAGCATATGTATATAAGTTACTTCAGTATATAACTTCAGTACCAGGAAATACAGTAGCAAGCAATTACGCATGTGGGTCATCAGATAACAACCATTATTCTTCAACAAATGCTTTCAACGAAAACGCACTCTTCGACTCATAAATAACAGTGAAACTCGTCGTTAATAATGAAGCAAGCTATAGTTCAATTAAAGCTTTAGAGCAGTAAAAACTTAATGGACTATTTAGGACAATTGCTGTACCTCGGAATTATTTTGAACATAATTTTCACCGATATAGGTTCTATATGATGACGACTAAGAGCTTGCTTTATTTTCATTTAAGAAATTTTAAACATAAATTCTAGAATAAATACAACCTTGAAGAAAATAAAAATATTAGCAGCGCGTGGTTATTTCAGTGATGGTTTAGGCAAGCAGGCGGCAAGCGCATCTAAAATTCAGCACGTCACGGCAGCTCTTTGTCGGACTATCAATCGAGTAGTTCACACTAGGAAAGTGAACGATTTGGGCCCTTCTCTTAGGCAAGCGCCTCATCCATCTCCATCATAGTCCCCTGGCTCACCATCAGCTGTCAGCTGTCCCCGCGTCTCACCATCTCCGCTCATCATCACACCCTGACTGGAAATTATTGGCGGCTGGAAAGCAGCTTAGCTCCGGCCGTCCAGCAGCCGATGGTGCGTTGGTTCAGGCTTTGAATTGGAATGTACTCCGCTAGGCATCAGCTTTGGGAGCGGATCAATTTTGCTGCCTCTACTACAATATTAGTTTTAAAGACTTTGCGTGTCGTTTGATATCACTGGAAACAAACTTTGCATACATAGGGCAGATGGAGGTGGATTAACCACGGGAAGAAGGCATATGCATGCACTTTGCATAGGCATTCTATATTTTGATTGGTAAATGGCGAGACTATTCGTAGTACCGAATGATTATTTCATATGTTCAGTTTTAATAAACCGTTCGATTAAAAAAGATTGCGTCGAAAGTAATAGGAAGTTTTGTATATATTTTAATATATAAAAATGTAACCTTTTGCTCGGATCACAAGTAATTTATTCTCACATTCGCGTGAAAAGTTTCTATTCATTAAACTGAAATGCATTTTTAGATAGAGACCAAGCGCTTTATCTTGAATTGCAAGTGTTTAACTTTGATGTTGGATATGATAATGATTAGCTTCTCTGGCCTTTTTTTAATGACATTCGAATTGTCGGCTAATTAGTGACGCATCAAATGAACCCGGTGAAAAAAACCGCATGCAAGTAGGAATTATCGTGAAAAATTATATTTCAGTTAAAATTGAAAATTGAATTTCCAGAACTTAGTTCTGAACATGATTCGGAGTTTGATAAAAATTTGAAGAATTTTCGCTTGCTTGTATACCGTCTGGTATTTGCGAGTCATTATTTCGTTTTTTTATTTGTCTCTTACTACAAATCGTACTGTGGTTACTCAAATAAATAAATTTACTGTCGAAGACATGTATTAAAAGCAGCTCATATGGTGGACATGTTTGAGATAAAATGCATCTTTGATAGTACCAAACAATTGCAAAAGGGCCTGAATAATGTGTAATTATGAATAATGTGCACAATATACAATGTGCAATAATTGTGAATAATGTGCACAATATGCAATATGTGCAATAATTGTGAATAATGTGCACAATATGCAATATGTGCAATAATTGTGAATAATGTGCCTAATATACTGTGTGTGCAAGTTGAATGAAGAGCGTTCGGTGGTAATTAGTTAAAATGTGTGATGGAAAAAAGTAAGTTCTCAGTGTACATTTTGAAGCTTATACTGTCCAAACTTTTTTCTCTAATTCGATCGAATTATCTCCGTGTGTTCCACATGACTTCATGTTATAAATTATTACGTCTTTATAACTTAGAAATCATTGTAATAACAATTACATAAATTCTATGAAAAAAGAGAAATGCTATTATGGCTCTACTAAATGGAACATTTCCCGTAAATAAATACGTAAATGTCTAAATATCTAATCAATAGACTAGCCCGAGGTTGGGACGAGTTTGTCATGAACAGTTTACAGTTGAACTGAAATGACACGAAACACTAAACGTACGTGGTTTTCAATATAGTTCTAATATCATATATCATCATGTAATTTTCTGCGGAAATTTCAACGATAAAGTCGGAAAAAGGTTCCTGCCAATTTTAACTTTTATGGGCGAAAACGGTCTAAAAAATTCCATAGAAAAAACTACGTTGTTAGGCGCGCTGAGAGCTGTCCACTATACCGAAAATTATTTTTTCTCGCGGCTGTAGGTCGATATAATGTTCATACGAGCTCGATGAAGGCAAATAATTATCAAATTATTGAGGGGTGAACTAAGCAATTTGAATTGAGATTTGTCAAACGATATGTAGCGCAAAATTTCGCTATCTGAGAATATATACTTTTCGGCTCTCCAATTTTACAGGAGGAAACAAATAGCAAACATGACAATCATTCCCAAATGTTAAATATGCAAACTCTTAGTAAACTTTCTCACATAAATCCAGACCGGACTAATCCTCTATCACTTCGAAAGTATCCGTAAATCGTAAGCAAAGTCAGGTTAGATTATAGTCCGGGAAAGCAGTGCACATTTCAGCGAGGTTTGTCGCCGCCATAGCTCGGTAGCCGCGTCTTGAGGGACTTCAACTCTGCCGCTACCGCGCGCCACGGCCGACGAAAACATCGCTCGAGGAGGCGCCGTAATCTCGAGTCTCAGCTACCGAAGTTTCGTCGATTTTTTAAGCCAGCTTGAGCCCACATAACAATGATTATTTTGATCCCGAATAATGAAAGCCGTTGAATTTTGTAAAATTGTCCGTGAATTATTAATCTATATAGGACTTTTCATTTTATATCCGATGTACCATAAAAGTAAAAAAAGTGTTTTTACGCTGTGAAAACATGCGGCGAAATTTTCGGCATATTGGAAGTTAATTTTAATGAGTGCTAGAATTTAGTCACAAATCCCATAATTTTTCAGTACATGAAATAACAACGATTTTGAATTGCCGTTTTTTTAGGGAAATTTATTTAATTGGTTATTTAGAACGGTAAAACTAGAATTTTAGGTCGATCATTAGTTGATCATTACCAGTGATAAGGTCCGAATTTACTTTCAACAAGTTAGTAGAAACTCTATACTTGGGATTTTTCATCATACATTCCCATTTCCCTAGTAGCTGCTGATATACAGAAAATCCAAGCAATTCATTTCTAAAAAATATGTGCATATATGTGTCACCTAGACAAATTCAAGTTATACGACACAATATGAGCACACAATGTCTTAGAAATGGGTTGAAATTGCGTTTTAGCTTTTTGGCACAACAACCAATAATAATTAGAAAGAATATCAAATGTAGCATGATGATGGCTTTCAAATTGAATTTCAACGTTTATTTGAATTGTAAACCAACTTTCCTAATATGCAATAAAATGACATTCACAATTCCTGTATGAACGACTTCTTGTCGTAGCTCTCGTGTTTTGCTTGTAACTTAATTGTCCAAACTTCTCTTGCATCCATTTGTGTTAGTATGAAAATACAGCTGATCTCTAAATATTGTCAACAATTTTTTCAGTTAATTTGGTTCAGGCGTGAAATATTCCACCTAACTCGAAAAATTAGGTTGAAGTTATGTAAATAATTGGTAATTTTTCACGGAGAACGCCATTTTTGACACGTATTCAATTCCCTCGATATGTAGAAATGCTTCTCGACACGCTTAATTCTAGCATTCCAAACACACAATATAATAAATATAAGATAGAACACACACATACAAACAATTTGAATTATATCTGGTGCCTCGAATACCATCAAGAAAAATGTGACAGCACACTTAAAAACATTTATTAAAGTTCAGGAAAGCAAGCAAATTGACTTGGGCAAAAAATTGTAGGAAACAAAATTAAAGGAAAGGGAGCTAGGAGAGCATTGACTCTACAAGGTCAATAGTAATTAATATAAGAGCTAGTAAAGTAAGTGCAATTTATGGAAAGTCCAAATTAGCGTTACTCGCAACCAGGCAGCTAAAGCTATATTGGATTACCATCTCATTGCCTTCCTGTTCCCATTGCGGGAAGTGCGAGACAAACGGCACGCCCGAACACTTGAGAGTCAATAATCAATTCAGGATACAGACAAGTAGCTGATGCAAAAGCGTTAAAATCGCCACACCAAATAAAAAATAAAAGTGATAGTTAAAATAGGCACACCAAGAAACGCAAATAACATATTTTGGTAACGACTTAGCCCAACGATAACCGTGAAAAACCCCTTCAGTGGGAGCTGATCTGTCTCACACTTCCACAAAGGAGGTCTGTCTTGAGAAGAAAATAAAGATAACAGGTATAATAAACATAAGAGATTACGCATTATCATTTTGAAAATTATTGAAGGTATCTCACAAGTAAGAGATTTGAGTCCTTTACTAGTCACGTCTGGAGAGAAATTAGTTCTCGTATTTTATGACCAAAAATCAGAATTGAATCTATCGTCACTATTCATAATATGAGCCCAATTGTGACTGAGGAGATGAGAAGGGTTGCTTGCCACGGAGGGGTGTCTCATGGCTAGGGTTAGGGCTCTACCTGTACTTGTAGTCTGGATGTTCCTTCATGTGCACAGCGCGCAGTCTCTTCGCTTCATCGATGAAAGGTCGTTTTTCTGACTCTGTTAATAACTTCCACTCCGCTCCAAGGCGCTTAGAAATTTCTGAATTGTGCATCTTGGGATTTTCTTGGGCCATTTTACGTCTTTGCCCTCTGGACCAAACCATAAAGGCGTTCATGGGTCGCTTGACGCGTTCTGCAGCAGCGTTCGCGGCCGCGCTCTTGCTATTCGAGTTGGTGGACGTGTTGTTGGGAGTTCCGTTGTTATTATTGTTAGAGTTATTATTGTTAGTACTATTATTGTTGTTGTTATTCGAGCTGGGGACATGAGTTTGAGGAGGAGAGTGGGAACTCATACTTCCTACGCTGCCCAGGGATGGTGGCGGCGAATGTAATGCCGATGTGAGGGAAGAATTGAGGGCAGAGAGGGACTGGTGCGTCACATGGTGTGACAATGAGTGGTTGTGAGCGTGTGAATGATTGTGAGTTATGGACGAGTGGTGATTGTGAGACAGTGAGTGAGAGGAGTGTGGAGGTAAGTGAGAAGAGTGCAAGGCACTCTGCTTCAGGTCTGAAGGATCCAGCGTAAGCATGGCTGCAGGTTTAAGAGCTGCACTGCTGTAGTAATCCAGCTTGCCGGTTGTTTAGGCGAGCTGCCGTGTCGGGCAGTTCTACGCGGCTCGAGAAAATATATCAACTGCCGCGGCCGACGCGGGGTATCACTCGGCGTCTCCTTGCGAGCGCCCGATGGCTATGGCTACACCTCTCGGCTCATGCACTCGGGCAAAACTCAGGACAAAATCTACAACTTGGCTGTTTCATGGCTCAATGCGACGCAATTTGAGAAGGAGATTTGGAGAACAAATTTTCGAGGGATAAATTCACACTTTTGACCGATTGCTACGAATATCACAGTTAATACACTTCACTAATGGTTGTTCACTACCATCAGATACCTCGCGCGAGAGCACTTGTTTCTTCACTACTACACTATTGACTGAATAGTGAATCGGGGCAGCCAGGTCACTATAATGGCATAACAGAGCAGGCTCTATGCACGTCCGTTCACTGTGAAAGCCGTCTATTATTTACCTTTAATTTGGCTCAAGCTAGTGCTGCGTTATCGATTGAGCGAGAACCCGCCCCACTGCTGCTGCTCCAACCACTGGCTGGCCGAACGCTTCAAGTTCCTCCTTCCTCGGCCACGCTGCCAATGTTGGTCGGAGCGCGACACCGTCCAACTGCTAGGCGGGAACTGCGAATTTTTCCACTGTACGAGAAGTACTTGAACAAAATATCACAACGGCAGACGAGACGTGAACCTTGCCAAGATACACCCAGCTGAACACTTCAGCAGAATTTACATCAACGATGCTATATATCCACTTTGACTTGAAAAATTCCTACCGTTGCATTTTAGGCAGTTTTATGTTTATGGCATTAGCCCCCATTTCCATACTTGACTTAACGAGCGTTGCTCGATCGCATGCGTTCATTGGCCGCTGAAATGCGGACAAATGGCATTTGTCTCCGCGCATTATGAAGACGATTTTTTCTTGAATATTTTCTACAACGATTGCTACAACTTCGAGGCTCATGCAGGAATTATACCCACAAAAAGTTCTTGAATTAATGGACTTTCAGACGAGACAGGTTAGGCAAGAATGACAGCGGCAGTGATGCAAGTTGTTCATTCTACAAACAAGCATCGTCTAGTAATTTTTAAGAGAAAGAAATACCATTAATTCGAGTCTTTCAATATAAGATCATTTTGATTTCCAGACTATGATTGCGTCAGCTTTTTATATAAAAAGCACCACTGCGAATATATTCGCCAAAAATTTGGCGCTTGAAATGGTCTGTAACATGATTTATTAGCAGCGTTCTCTTTTTTACGTATAGATTTTCAAAATTGAATCTCTAAAAAGTTCTCTCATTTATTTCAGGTGCCCATATGACGATGCAAATAATATGGATATAACTATTATAAGAACCAAATTTCATGATAATTTTGTTAAAGTCAGTCAAAATATGATCATATTCTTCGAAACAAATAAGTAGCAGCGTTAGCGCAAAGCTTCATGGTTTTCGCGGCTCGAAGTTCCTACAAATGTTTGTCGGAACTTCCAGACAGAAATTCATAATAAATACCGAGAGACCGGCGACCTAAGTCATACTTTTTGAGCTCGAGCCAGCAACAGCAGAGGCAGCAACAGAAGCTCAGCTGAAACAGGCAAAAGCAACGGAGTGGGACGAACAGAGAGGCTCGAATAGTAGGAATAATAGGCAATAATCCTAGGAGCGGTGTAATATAAAAGGCAAAATAAATAGTGAACCAATGGACAGATGCGTATAACTTTAGCCAAAATAATAAGCAGTACGCAGGTTAAAAAGGGGGAAGAAAATTGCAAACCAGCCGTGTCAGGATTAGAACTTAAATAGCTTAGTAGAAGAAACAGTTGCAAATTTTCAACATTTCAACGAAACAACTGTTTTCGAAACATTTTCAACAACATTTAAACGAAACATTTCAACGAAAAAAGGAAGCACGCGACAGCGGCGCAAGCGCGCTTATAATAGCATGAATAAAGGTCTGGACATATACAGAGAGTTGGGATCGTAATTCATTGTATAGCAGAAACGCTTGCAATGCATGCAAACTCGTGATCCCCATTATATGGACAGTATGTATATATATAAAATATTGAGTTTTTTGTTAATGCTCCAATTAATACAGAAAAATAAAGTGTCCTTAAGCGCGGGAAATAAGAATGAAGTGGGAAATACATGCTTGAGCGAACAAACACGATGTTCACACATAGAGTGATAATGATCAGTGACGAATGTAATTTCTACAAAAATGACTCGCTTGCTCATACATCTTAATATTAGCACGGAACAGAAGAAAACTTTAGGCAGACTGTGCAGCTGTAAATGCTGTCAGATCCCTGCGTGCCCTGCAGACTCTGCAGACAAGAATGCTGCCAGAACCCTGCGTGCCCAGACTCTGCAGACAAGAATGCGACCAGAACCCTGCGTGCCCTGCAGACTCTGCAGACAAAAATGCTGCCAAAACCCTGCGTACCAGAACCCTGCGTGCCCAGACCCTGCAGACAAGAATGCTGCCAGAACCCTGCGTGCCCAGACTCTGCAGACAAGAATGCTGCCAGAACCCTGCGTGCCCAGACTCGACAGCCGCAGTATAGGCAGGATTTAAGGCACGGAGCGGACTCGGTTCTGCATGTGGTGCGTGGGCGGTAAAATTCCTGAAGCTTTAATGCAAGCCATAAATGGCAGGCGGTCCTCCCCATAATTGATGGCCGCACACATGAAGAATCTCGTGAAATATTTGCCGCACTCGATGACAATATTCCGTCGGGGTTTCGATGCAAATTATGTTTACCTTTATAGAAAATTGTGTCGGTCTCGCGGGCCGAGACTTCGTGAATAATATTTATGATTAGGCCGGATGTCTCTCTGCAATTAATTACAGAATTTGCAACGTTTTGTTAGCAGCGATTTGAGTTTGGAAGATTCAGGAAGACAATTCTGTAAAATGCATAAAAAATTACGTCTGATGAATATTTTACTTTATTTCATATTATCGTGCAATCAACGGAGAGAGACCAACCGTTCGTACCTTCTGGAATTATTTCTATTTTCCCGCTTCCTTTTATGAAATTTGAGAAACAATTGTAATTTGAAAATATATCATCTTATTTCCATCCGAAGGTTCGAAGGGAAGTATTAGCAATATAAGGTAAAAAATATCAAACTATCCAGTTCACTCAGTCCTATATATTTAGATCGACCTGTCCACTACAAACTCCGCAATGTGCTTATTAGATCAATGCACCGCTCGCAGTCTGGTTCAGCGGCATAATTAGTCTACGGAAAAATGTCATTACATTTCGGAACCTAAACATCGAGCCCAGGTGACTGTAAAAACAAAAACTTTAAAACATTATAAATAACAAAATATAAAAGAAATTGCAAATTTAAAAAATTATAACCTCTTTTGAAATCAGTAGATTTATGTATGATGTAAAAAAAGTTTCTTTTTACAATTTAATTTACATAAATAAATTGAGGAACTAGCTGACAGAGTCTATATTGTAGATTAACTACAATCGAATCATTTTATTGTAAGCCTGAAATTTGGAAGCCATTTCGCCTGAATAACATCCAGCCAAGTACGAATTCACGTTGCGGAAAATATGTAGTAAATAGCATCACTGAATTGACCTATAAGGTTTCGGGACGACCAAGGTAAAATCTAACTTGCATGTCTTTAAAAGATTTTCTCGCTAATATTACTTTGCTCAGAAAAGCTACGCAGAGAATCATGTCCTACTTTAAGAAAATTTATTAAATCAATTTGGGTGTATTAAGAAATTAGCAAATAAGTTTAATAAAAATATGAACGCAAAAAATTAATATAATTTTGATGAGACATCTCATGAATTCAATTCAATATATATATATAGGTATATTTCGAACTCAAACATGGAAAGGATTCGAGCTCCTCATGGTGACTTGGAGTATAAAATGTCCGTAAATCGAATAAATATATATAATATTTCTTTCGAATTCCTAATGGGAATTTTTCAACTTATTAATTCGGCGCATAAATAATGAAATTTAGTATTGAAAAGATGGGTATGAATTGTACCAGCGGGATCAAGGAAAGCTGTTGAAGCGCAGCCCTAACGACCATGTGGGCTTGATCGATGACGCCACAATTAGGGCAGTTCAGGTTACAGTGTGAGGTCATGCCTCGGTCATGCAAAACGCTGCTTCCTCGCTCCAACTGATCGAGTCAGGGTCAGTCCTCGGTCGATCTGTAGACCCATTGGGTCCCTCGATTCAAATGATCGAGCTGCATGGTGTCTCTCGATCCTATATACTGATCGAGCTATGATTGGTCTTTGATCATTCTGTAGACCATTCAGATCTTACGTTCCAATTAATCGAGCTCGGGTCATTCCTCGATCGATCTGTACTACGCTGGGATTTTTCGATCGTACGATACAGTAGATCGAGCTCGGATCATTCTTCAATCGATCTGTACAACGCTCCGGTCACTCGATCGTTCGATGCACTAGATCGAGCTTGGGTTGTAGCTCGATCAGGGAGAAACAATAACGCTCCTGTCGCTCAATCCACCTGACCGCGAGCTTTGGTCAATGCTCGATCTGTCAGGAACAACGCTCGTGTTGCTCGATCACACGATCCAACTGATCGAGCTCGGGTAGTTACACAATCGATCACGAAGCCCGGCTTTCTCGATCTAACAGATCGAGCTCTGCATGGTAACCTCTCGACAGGCCCGCAGAGTTGCTGTTGCAGGCTGCTCGATCCTAGCTCTGCCTAGCGATGTCCAAGCTATTCGATTAAGCTCTGGTAGCTCATGCTTTAATGAATCAAGTTATAATAAATTTATAGTTCAAGGCTTCGATTATGTGGTGTGTAATACTTGACCGAGCTTTCACACTTAACAATAAGTTAGTTATTCGTCAGTATTGACAAAAACAAGAAAAATGAAATTGTTGAGTTAATTAAGTTAATTAATGTTGTTAATTAATGTAAGATTAATTTAGTTGTATTAAATAAGTTAATTAATCGATGAATATATGATTGAGCGGCTCTAGGAATATTAAATGTCACTGTAATAGATTAATTGGAAATATATTTTATCAAATGGGAATTGTGTGAGAGCCTTTACTTAATTGTGATTGACTTGCCATAAATTTTTGAAACCGTCACTATCGTCCAGTTATTATCATTCAAATTATGTCGGTGATCACGATTGACTGTACGTGAGAGATTGGACAAATACGATGCACCTGAAATTCAATTAAATGTTCAGCTCGTCCAACTCCAACATCCTTGGCACCTGCAATCATCCAATAAATTGGTGCAATATACGGCCAGTTTGTGTGAGTGTTCTATATTACTGCAGCAGTTAATAAGGTTCAGTATGAGCAATAAGAGGCACATAGGACAAAGGATGACACAAAGGGATAGTCTTACTTGCAATATCCTCTCGTGCGAGCAATATAAGACGCTTCAGCCGGCCGCAACAATGCCTCACGCAACTCATATA